TGGCCAAGATATCCTGGGACAAAGACTTTCCAAAATTTTTATGGATCGAGTACAGTAAACCAATGTTGCTTTCCTCTGTTTGTAAAAAAATATACACTCTATTTATTACCATGAAATGTAAAATAGAACACAGCTCATACACAGGGTTGGTAGGTTTGCTGAATAATTAGGCCAAACACCATCACACTAGGCCTTTGTCTTCTTTGTCCTGGCCTTTTGCACTAATGAAGATTTGGCCTAATTATTCATGTAACTTACCAATAAATAAAAAACTAAAATTATCTGCAAAATAAAAAGCGAATTGATACCCCAAGTGGCTTTAGAGCATCTCACTAATCTTGTAACGACAAAAGATGTGGGAAGTTTGAAAGCGACCTCATTGGACTTGAATATACAAGCCAGATTAATGTATCTGAAATAACCAGAATGCATGTAAAAAATAGGTTCTACAACTTGAAAAATTGAACCATAACAAACATTGAAAAATAGGTACGCTAGGCGTACATGTATCTGCGCAAAGGAAATCCATGGTTGCTATGAGTAAACAATTAAATTTCGAAGTGACTATACAGCAGACACTGGGAGGGGGGGGGGGTGGAGGCTGAGCCCCTCCTATAATTTTGATAGACTGTAAAAATCTTGTACCAAATAACGCAAATCACACTTATATAATAGTACCATTAATTAAAACATTGTAATTTAATACCACTAATTAAAACAGTGTTTTGAAAACCTAGTTTTTTACAAAATGTGTTCTCAGAACATCTTAAAGCCTTTTCGTGAGTAACCATGTAATGCATGGTTACTCACGAAAAGGCTTTAAGATGTTACTTCGGGCAATGATAAGCTTATTCATGTTCCGATACCATCATTTACAAAACTTGCCACATTCATTTACGGATTTTTTTATAGCAAATAGCCAAATTCACCAATAGTAATACAGTACCCGAAACTCGTCGAAACTTCATATGCATTGCCATAAATGCCATTGAACTAATTATACTAAGCACTCACTCTCAGTGAAAGGAGTGGATGTTCGGAATAATCTTGATGTTAGCTTGACAAAAATAACATCACTACCAATCTTTAAAAAAAAATCGAAAATACATAATTGACATTGTCAATACAATCTAGTAAACTTATATTTTAAACAAGGAAGTCGAATTCATATTCATGTAATTAACAGATTATGTCTATATAGCTCTCCAACTTTTCTCCTTATTATGTACTTTACTCTTACTAGTGAAAGCAATATTAATGTATTAATCTTCATATTCTTGTAAATACTTTTACTGGCACTGATTGACACGATATAAAACTTTGCACTGGACATTAAACTAGGGCCTTACCTTAAAAGCCTATGAAGGTTTCTTTAGACTCATAGCCCTATTTATAGTTGTAGCTTTAATACTTTTATGTAAATAATTACCATAATGATTGGGTGAAATAAATAAATTAATCTTCTAGGATAAAATAACAATCGTCACTCTGTAGAAAGCCGCCATCTTTGTTTTACGGCCTGTTCGCAGGCATACAGCCCTAATTAGTCGACCTGAGTGTTTAACGCACGCACAAACTCGATAGCATAGTATCTAGCGCTCCGCGCAGATACAAAAATTGATTTAGTCTACCAATTGGCAAGAAGCAGTTGCATGCTGGCAGGGGGGGCCGGGGGGCCATGGCCCCCCAGCGAAGCTTTTTAGGGGGCGCCAAAGCATATATGGGTGCGTGGGAAAGATTTACACAATAATAGAGTTTTGAGTGACAAACACTGCGGATTAGTAATAGTGCAGAAGAAACGTTTTGAAAATTGAAACCTTGTATTAACTAATGTGCACGCTTTACGGCAGCTCGAAACTGATTGTCAAAGGATGCAATTGTGATTATTTGTGAATGTGAAATCAGAGATGTGAAGTGATTTGGCTTGCGATTGACGATTGTTGGTAAGTGTTGTAATTACCTTTCCTCATTGAGCAAACATTCATTATTCATGAGCAAGACACAAAGGAAATCGCGTTAAACGTTCAACTTTCGCATTGAATTTCTCTCTAAATATTGGTTTGTTTGAGAAGCTACATCATACACTCAAAGTCGTTTAATGTAGTGATTTAATTATTTAAAAACGGCTCACTCCTAACTCCTTCTCATATTATGATATTACATCTAACTTGATTCCTGTGATTGTGAAATACTGTGGCGCATATTGCACTTCGCCAGTGCAGCGGGTGTGTTATATTCAGTATTTACTTGTACTTTCATAAATAATAATTCATTGATTACATTGAAATCATTGAATTGACATTTTAAATTAATCGACTATATTATAGTGAGGGGCCGACTATAGCCAAAGGCCATATATATTATATACATAGTATAGCCAGAGGACCAGGGCAAAGTCAAAGGTCAGCTGCCAAGTGCTAGGTGACGCTTGTAAATCGACTAGAATGATGACAAATTAAGTTGAGGCAATGAGCATGTGGTGCATTTTTTAATGCGTTGTTCAATACTTCGCTCGCTTCAGCCTGTGCATGGCGAGAAATTGTGGACATTTGGGGGAGAAGCTCAACTTTATAGCTTATAATTTGGTTCCCATCATTACAATGGCTTTGTGTTACTCCTTGATAAATGATTTTGATACGAATTTCACATTTTCGGGCCAAACAAGGAAACTGGACATCCCGCAGTCATATGTTTTGTCCATTGTTTTCTATTACAGTAGCTACGATTTTTCTCAGCCTTATTGACACATCTGATCTTGCAGATCTTCACGGAATATATTCGTATGGTATATCCGCATATACTATAATTCAAACCGAAGCGGATGAATAAATTCGAATTTTTGTTTTCAATCATGGATATGAGGAACTGCTAGCCGCATCTGATTTAACATATTTATTACGTGTGTGTGTCCACAACTTCTCACCATTGATAAAATCTACATTTGGAAATCTGATCCCAAGACCTCCCAGTTTTAAACATTAACTTAGTTTGATTTTGAACGTTTATAAGTTCTATCTGATTTCATGCTATATTGCTACTATAACCTGTAGCCATGTCCGACAACAAACCATCATCTAAAAGAAAAAAGTCTGGAGCTGAATTCAGAAAAGCAAAGAAAGCTAGGCAACATGAGAATAAGCAGCTTGGTTCCTTCATGCTAAAGTACTTCCAAACTAAAGATAGGAAGCGTGAGAATAATGGAAAAAATGTCCAGGAAAAATTTGGTGAATGCGGTGAAAGTGAAATACCTTGAACCTCACAAAGCTCAATATTTGAAGTCGAACAAGTATCTAGAGTGGATTTACCAGAGACAGAAAAAGAAGAACAAGGGAAGGAAGAACAAGGCGAGGAAGATCCAAAAATAGAAGTTAATCAAGAATTCGGAAAAGATCGAGATGTCGAGGAGACATTGCAAGAAAAAGATACTGAAGATAGTGTCGAGGAACCAAGCCACTGTCAAGAGAAACATCCAAAAACCAGGGAATTTCTTTCAAATCCAAATATCATTGTTGATGAAGTCAGTGGAACATTGGATCCTGCGTCACTTGTTGGATTAAAGTTAAGCACAGAAGAGAAAGAGAAATTAATAAAAATGGAACCTTGCCAACCAAGTCAGCAGATATTAAAATTGAGAATGAAGCAGTTTGGAGAGCGTTCCGGATATTGTTCACAGCAAATATTTTTTCATGACAATGACACAAGATGGAAATGGATTTCCTATTCATTGAGCACAGATAGCCTATTTTGTATGCCTTGTCTTCTGTTCACAAATGCATTGTCACGGGGTGAGTTAGCACACACAAATCAAGGAAACGCCTTCACGTTTGCCGGATTTTCCAACTGGAAGAAACAACATAGCGTTGTGAAAAACCACAAGATGTCGGCAGCTCACGCAAATGCTAAAGTTGCAGAAGTGCTTTTCTTGCAAGAGAAAACTATAGCATCATGCCTGGAACACCAAGAACATGATGAAGCAACACGAAGAAAGGTGGAAGTTACTGGCAATCAGAACATAATGACATGAGTCGTAGATACTATAATCCTTCTTGGGAAGCAAGGACTTGCATTTAGAGGCCATCGAGAATCACTTGCAAGCGAAGTGCTAAACACAGGAAACTTCTTGGAGGTGTTGAAGTACTTGTCTGCATACGATGTTGCCATCCGTGACCATCTTGAAAAAATCCGCAAGAAGCATGAAGCAATAGCAAAGGTTGGAGGGCGATCAGGGACCAACGCAACCAAAAAGGCAAAAGGTTGAGGTTCGAAAATCACGTTTCTTAGTAACAAGACGCAAAACAACGTCATTGATGTCATCGGAAAGCAGATTACCTGTGAGATAGTAAAGAGAATCCATGAGTGCAAAGCTTGGGCTTTGATAGCTGATACCACACCTGACGTTAGCCACCATGAACAGCTTAGCATTTGTGTCAGAATAGTTGATTGTGTCAGTTACTGTTCTGAGCATTTGTTGTGTTGCAAAAGAGCACCTGGTGCAACTGCACAACAGCTCTACGACACCATTGTAGATGCATTAAAGTCTCGAGTGTTACCTTTGATAAAATAGTTGCGCAGACGTATGATGGAGCTTCAAATATGAGTGGTTGTTATAACGGGCTGCAAGCAATCTTTAGAGATGAAATCGGTAGTCATATAGTATACACTCATTGCTATGCTCACACTCTCAACTTGGTCTTGTCGGATTCTGCTGGTATTGCCATTAACGTCATCTCTTTGTTCAGTGATCTGGAGAAAACGTACGCCCTTTTCAGTCAATCTGAAAAAATTCACTCGATGTTTGAATCCGCTCAGAAAGTTCAGAAGCTCAAAGTCCTTTCGTTGAAGCGTATCAATACAGTCCGATGGAATTCTCATGAGTTCAGCCTTTTATGATACGATTGCGTTATGAAAGTTCTTGAAGACGTTGCTGCAGGAACTTCATTTTCGAGCACGCAGAGAGCAACTGCCGAGGGACTCTATGAATTGTTCGAAAAAAGCAAATTATGGCAACAGCTTATCTTTTCCGTGAAATTTTTGTGATTACGGGCCCTCTAAGTCGATACTTACAAAGTGTTAATGTAGATCCTTGTAAAGCGTTAGCTATGATCGACAGCTCTCTTTCTCAACTTCAAAAATTACGTAGCGATCCAGAAGAGATCATTAGAACTTGTGACAATGAATACGGTCCAGTTGAATGGAAAGAAACAAGGGTGAGAAGTCGAAGAGTAATGGATGGTGAGATTGCTAGAGATGAACCAGAGGCCACACCCCTTGCTCACTGGAAACGTGAAACATTCCATGTTGCTGTTGACACCATCATCAATTCGATGAGAAATCGTTTCGAGAAGAACCGGCCATCATTGCAATCGCTTGCAATGTTTGCCCCAAGCGGCTTCCCCAAGCTTGTGGAGAACTTCCAAAATGCCCGCGACTTGGAAGAAAGCATAACCAGTTTCTGCACGACATATCACATCGATTCATCATGCTGCGCCGAAGAGCTGTTCACCTTTGCACCTTCATTCTTGAAGTTCAACCGCTCTCTTTTCGTTTTTCCCAAAGAAAGAAAGGAGGATTTTCACGATGTCGATGGCTCTGATTCTGAAGAAGTATAGTATGATTTGAACGATCATGATTCAGATCATGATGAAGAATCAGACAAAGTAAGGTGTATGCAATTGCTGTTGCAATCCCCATCAGTTCTGCCACTGCTGAGCGCTCATTCTCAGCACTTAAGAGAGTGAAAACTCGAATTCGGGCAACCATGTTGCAAGGACAATTGGAAGCCTTACTTTTGATGGCTGTTGAGTGGGAAATTTTACATTCTCTGGACAAAGAGCGCATTATTGACGTCTTTGCAAAGACGTCAATGGAATTATCAAAAGCACTTTTGTAAATTAACATTTTCCTAATGAAACTTTGTCCTTATTCGTAGAACTAGAAAACTATGTGAACATAATTTAATCAATTATATCTCTCGCACACAGTTTTGTTCAGTTGTTCACCAATTTCCTATTTGGTGTATATCCAAATGTACAATAACTTATACCTTTACTTCTCAATGCATTTGCAGTTTATTGATTTAAATATTTCGTCAAAATGCAAGAAATGGCTTTTATTCACTATTATTTCCAAATTTTCCAAGGGCATGCCCCAGACCCCCATGCGCATCTCGTGTCTATGACGCTCGCCCATATCCAGATTTCAAGGACAAAAGGGGGAGCCAAATTCCCAGCTGGCCTCGCCCCTCCCCCTGGCGAACACGAGCCAGCACGCCATTGGCAAGGAAGTATTTCCGAGGTTCACTATTTCCTTCAATATTATTAGGTATGTCATGCTCAGTTGCTCCCAGTATTCGATGACTAAAGAATTTGTTGCTGCTACACTTAGAGACAATGTTCCACACAGAAAACTTTTTCAAAGTGCAGCTAGTAACTGTTGCTTGCCATCAAATGCGTTTACAGGAAGTGTAATTTGTCTGCAAAAGTTAAAAAGAACAATGTAAATGCAAAAAACCATAATGGTGAGGTAAAGCATATTACTTACTAATGTACGTTATGTAATATAGATAACTCCTTTTACAAAAGCACAAAGACCACAGGCTGCAACATGTTGAGTGTTGACCATAATTGATAATGTGTATTTAAGTGACCTATTTGCACATAATGTCAACTGAACATGAAACGGGGGATCTAAGGTACTGTACTGTTTAAGGATTTAACACAAGCAAAAGCGGTCACTCCAAAGTCCTGACAACAATATGTCAAATTTTATTTTATGTGTGTTGGTTTTGTGTATTCATGTGAATATAATGTTTGTAATGTTATTCTGAGTGTGTGTCCACACCTGGCAAGCTTAAAAAATATGCCTGGCCACGGTGGGGATCAAACCTACAACCTTTGGAATATTAGCCCATTATGCTCTGCTGACTGAGCTACGTGATCAGGTTGGCTTGAGTATGTGAGTCTAGCTAGTTCCTTTGATATCAATGTAATCTAATAATCATGAATTGGGCTAGTATTCCAAGGCCAGGCATTATTTTTCAAGCTTGCCCAGTGTGGATACACACTCAGAGTAACATCACAAACATCATATTCACCTGAGTACACAACACCAACACACAGAAAATCATGATTATTAGATCACACACTCAAACCAACTTGACCACATAGCTCCGTCGGCAGAGCATTGGACTAGTATGTCAAAGGTTGTAGGTTTGATTCCCACCCTGGCCATGCATACTTTTCAAGCCTTCTCGGTGTGGATACACACTCAGAGTGACTTCAGAAACATAATGTGTCAATTTAACAAATCCACAACATGTGCAATGATTTTATTTAGCCAATTCTTTCATGGTTATCATGGAATAAATATGAAACTTGCTGTCATTTCAACATACAATATACTTATATTGTAGATTGATAAAAAGTCATTCATAAATACCATGACATTTTGTAAGTATATACCCAACGTCCCAATCCTTTTTCATACGAATAATATTATATCCTTCCATTTATTATTTTTGATTTCGCACTCCAAATCAGATAAGCATTGTCCATGCCTAATTTTTGCAAAAATACACATTAATATGTAGGCGACATTGATGATCACAGCAGCCAATCAAATAGCGATTTCGATTCGATTTCCCCAGTCATGCCACTACATAACCCGCAAACAGGCATACTCTGGGGAAGGACAGCAAACCAAGATGCTTGAATTTGAAAACTCTTTATTTTGAAAACCGACTTGCAATGTTTGTTTATAATTTGGGAAAGTTGTCACAAAATTGCCCACCCAGCCACTCTAAATGTTGATTTTACACGTAGCAATATGAATAGTGGTCGGATACAATCACTATTAAAGGCACATGTTTGTAAGATAAACCTTGAATCTGATCTGAATATTTCAATTTGGGAAAGTTGTCACAAAAAATTAAGTAATTTGGTAAACATATCTTTTAAAATTTCCAGTCATTGGCGGTTTTATAAATATGTTTTATCTACTTTCAAAAAACTGCCTATTTTAACCACAAAATAATATAACTTATAGTCACAAATGATTCTTTTCCTTTTACAATGTTCAATTAGGACCAAATAAAAAGGACCAAGATATACCTAAACATGCAGCATTTGAGATATGTAAAAAACAAACAGTAAAATCTGGAAAAATACAATAAAAACTAGGTACAACGGTTCGGGCAAAGGCCCTTCATCTGGAAGTAAGTAATCTTTTACCATCTTTTCTTGATACGTCGAAATGGTCGAATTTCTGATTGCATTTTTCAGGTACTTTTTTAATAATACAGATCAGATTTCAACTGCCTCATCGTGGATGCATCTTCAACGCCCAAAGTACACTTACAGCTTTGTCTTTTTCACCATCTTCACTATCCCAATCTAACTCGTTTTCTACTTCTGAGCTATGTTCTTCAGTCAAGCTCATCTTTACTGATAGCTACTATAGAAAAAGGAGCAGTACTGTCATCCAGGTTGAATGTTTACTTTGCTCAGTTTAATCCGAGGAAGCAAGTCAATTATAAAATGTGGGGCGGGCTGGGAAAAATAGGGGGTGGGTCACAATTTTTGAGCACGGTTGAAGGGGTGGGTCATCGAAAGTTAATTGCAATCATAAGGGTGGGCCATGTAAAAATATGCAGGAATTTGTCAAGGGCATTTGTATTAAAATTAAAATTATAAAAATAGAAATAAATTGTATCAGGACTCATGTGTAGAATTTATACTGCAAACGTTAACTTCAAACTTGGGCCAAGTCTAAACACCGTATATATTTGAGTCGACTTGAATTGACATTTTTCAAATTTTAATTCAGACGTCAAATTTAATTGCAATTTAAACTATATGGCGGATGAAGTTGTAAGAGAAAAAACTTTGCGTTTATACCTATCAAACATCATTCACGCCAACAGAAAACGATGACTTTTAATGAATATGGCATGCAGTAAATAACCTCTTGGCAATTAGGAGAAGGCAGAAGATGCATGGTGCTCCTTATTTATCAAGTATAGTGGCACGCACATGCGAATAAAACCTGATATTTTGAGAAATTGCAAATAAATATTTCTCGCCGTATGTTCAAACAAAGCTTTCTACATGAGAGCACTTGAATACATTTTACTTCCATGGCCTTTGAGAGAATAACGAAAAGTTTAGAAGATATTCAAGTTTTTTTTCTCCAAAATGAAATTCAGAATGTTTGGCCAAGGGTGGTGAGTAAATGTATGATTGTTTTAGAAGCATTTGACCCCCCGTTTAAACAGGTATTTTGTGAGAATTTCAATGGTGGTTTTCGTTTACTGTAAAAGGGCTTTAAAGGGGGTATTACTAAATACTCGCTGGGATATTTACATTATAGAACCAATTGAATCAACACTGTAATTGCAATATATGTTGAGAAAGAGTTGTTAAACTGACAAGTGTATTTTGTCTAGATTGAACAAGAAAAGCAGTCATCAACTTCGGCCATGCTTGCTCTAGCTGTATACAGCTATTTCAATTAAAGTTGTCCCCCGAGCAAAGCAGAAAAGTCGAATACGAGCATGAAAGGCTGCTGGCAATCGCTAATAAATTCATTCATTTTTTAGCGATTCCCAGCAGCCTTTTGTGCACATATTCGACTTTTCCGCTTTGCTCAGGGGACAACCTTAATTGAAATAGCTGTATATGCCTATCTGCGTATGTCATTTTGCATGAAACCGCAGAGTTATGGGTAATGATATTTTAACATGATTTTTTGCAGTAGATTCGACTTATGTAAAATGCGGCTTTTAAGTCAACAATCAAGTTTTAGTCGAATATTCGGCTGAGTCGGTCGAATATTCGACTGAAGTTGCACTTAATTCAAACCTGTCGAATTTAATTGATTTAAACGTCATATTTTACGTACTGTTCAATAAACGAGCAGGAGTGTTTTATTAGGTTTAAAGACACGAGCGCGCAGCACAAGTGGCTTTAGACCTAATAAAACATGACCTGCGAGTTAATTAAATGGCTTCAAACACGACTACAAATTCAATAGATATACTGCCTTATTAGTATTCTTTATATAAAAAATACTAATGAGGACACCACTACAATAGATACTGCCTTATTAGTACTCTTTATATAAAGAATACTAATTAGGAGTGTTTTATCAGGTTTAAAGCCACTGCACGTGACATATTATGGTTGACATGATTTGCCAATAAGCTTATGAATTATTAATGAGTGTTTGAAATGCATGTAATTCAATAATTTGATTCGGCACATGTAAAATGTGGCGTTTAGACCAGGCCTAATCACTGGCAGACACTAGGGGATTCACCCCCCCCCCCCACCAAATAACACAATTCACACTCATATAACATAATTGTTATCATAATATAATGATATATGTTTCTGTACTGTACCTGTCACAACATACACATTTTATACACTCTTTCACAGATACTAGTGTGTCAACATTTTGCAACAGGCACACATTGTCGATTGACATCATCACTTACCAAATAAATTTTTACATAGTCATTAGCATGTTAATTAAATTAAAGCACCTTGCAATTGTTGAATATTGAATTGTTTTGTTGAATGCTGAATTGTTTTGTCGAATGTTGAATTGT